GTCTTCACTGGAAAAATGTTTAAGTCCTTTGTCCGTTTTTAATTGGACTGTTTGTTTTTCTATTGCGTGATATGAGTTCCTTATATATTTTAGATATTAACACTTTATCAGATAGGTGGTTTTCAAATATTTCTCCCATTTCCCAGGTTGCTTTGTATTTTGCTGAGTGTTTCTTTTGTTGTGCAAAAACAAAAAAAACAAAAGGCTTTTTAGTTTGATATAGTTCCACTTGTTTAGTTTTGCTTGCACCATTGGTGTTATATCTAAAATATCTTTCCCAAGACCAATGTCAAAGAGCGTTTCCCTATGTTTTCTTCTAGTAGTTTTACAGGTGGGGCCTTACATGACAGTCTCTAATCCATTTTAAGTTAATTTTTGTGAGTGATGTAAGATTGGGGTCTAATTTTATTCTTCTGTGTATGGGCATCCAGTTTTCCTAATACCATTAATATATCTATTTGATTTCACAGAGGAAGGGAGAGTGGGAGAGAGAGATAGAAACATCAATGATGAGAGAGAATCATTGATCGGCTGCTTCCTGTACACCCCCTATTAGGGATTGAGCCCGCAACCCAGGCATGTGCCCCTGACTGGAATTGAACCCAGGACCTCTCAGTCTGCAGGCTGACGTGCTATCCACTGAGCCAAACCAGCTAGGGCCTAACACCATTTATTAAAGAGACTATCTTTTCCCCCATTGGATATTTTTAACTTCCTTGTCAAATATTAATTGACCATAGATGTGTGTGACCATATATATATTCTGGTAGAGCTTCAGCAATCTTTTTCTTTCATTGGCACTAGAGGGTTTGTTCATTGGTATAATGGGTTTAGAAATGATTTTTCATTTGTAAAATCAATGGTGCAAAAGATATGTGGATAGTCAGAAATATGATACAAGCCCTCTCTGCTTCCATAAACAGAGTGTAAGAATTCTGGAGGCTCAGTAGCTTGCACCCTTTATTGTAGCCCACCACTCCTGAGACTCCACCTGACCTCTGTGCCGCCCCGAGCCGAGGAGGCTGCGGCCTGATTCTGACTAGGGGCTCGGATGAATGCTGCCACTACAATATCCTCTGTCCCGTGATGCCAAGTGTGGGTCAGACAGAGAGCAAAGATGTCATCAGACAGAAAAAAAGACCGTGCCTTATTTACAGCGCCTGCTTATTCGTGTTTGTATGTGCAGCAGAATTGGTCCTGGGTCTCACTTTCAATGCAAAGGAACACCCCCTTAGTTGGACGGCTGTGGTAGATGAGACCGATAGTCCTCCCTCCCCTTAGCTGCGGAAGGCGGTAGCTACCCTGCACGAAGAACCGAATGATTCTAAGCCACCAGCTTGGCTCGGGTCCATTTGCCGCAGCATGGTGCCTTGGTTTGTTTTTAACAGTGCTAGCCATCCTTCCCCACCGCCCCAGGGAGGGAGTTAGTCAAGATGGTGCGACTCAACTGAGCAGCAGGAAGAATGAATCCCGTGGAAAGAAGCCCAAGTCCCACCAGGAAGACAATACCAGTTCTGACCAGTCAGGGTGATGCAATGACAACAGTGAGATGACCAGTTGGCAAGGGGGAGAGCTGAGAGCAGGATGGAAAGGGGAGTGAGGCACAGGTTAGGAGGAGTGAGTCAGGACGGAGCCTGTGACCAGCAGGGGATTGCCAGAGTTTATCTTTTTTTGCTCTTTTTGAAAATTCCAACTTGAAAATTCCTATTGAAGACCTTCTATTGGTCTGGATGAGATAACGATCCCATCCCTAATGAATATGGCTTCGATGGGGAAGGGAAATTATAATTACTGTCTGCCACGAGCATAAGGCACCATCAACATTGATGAAAATGGGTGTCCCTAGATAATCTACCAAAGTTCTAGCCATGAATACTAGTCCAAATAACGCCCTCCCCCTCTCCCAGCCAGCTAACCCTTAGCAGTATGGTACAGGAGTTAAGCCCCCAGGCTCTGGAGCCAGAGAGATGTAGCTTCAAATCCCCACTTCCCCAGTTACATTAGTTGTGAGGCCTTGGGCAATGTGCCTAACCCCAGTGACTCAGTTTCCTAATCTGTAAAATGGGGAGGAAAAGATAATAATACCTCCGTGAAACTTAAAGGAGACAGGCAGCGAGAGCACTTAGAACCCAGCCCGGCTCCGATGGGAGCTCTGCCAGCTCTTCCTGCTCCCAGCAGCCCCGCGGGAGTGGGCAGCCTTCAGGAGGCAGCAGGGCCTCGGGCCACTGCCTGTTGCCAACAGAATGAGATCAGGTTAATGAGAGGAACAGACTGACCTGATTCACAGAACTCCAGTGAAGTGACCCATCTGACACCCCGGAGGAGACGGTGCCAGGGAGAGGAATTGCTTGGCATGTGATGCTTTCCAAAAGCAGGGATGAGGGGTCCTTTCAAAGCACCAGGTCTCTCCGCCGTGGAGGGCTTCTGGGAGAGAGGCACTTCTCCAGCTCTACGGTGCTATTGCCCCCCGCCTTGTGGGTCACAGCCTGCAATCATCCCCTTTATGAAATAACTAGAGGCCTGGTGCACAACACTCATGCACTGTGGGGGAGGAGGGCTCCCTCAGCCCAGCCTGTGCCCTTTCGGGATAATTAAGGGGCCCCTGTAAAGAGAATCTGGGATAATTACCTGACTCTTTAAGCTGCCCGGTGGAAACCAGGAGGCCGATTCACTCCAGTGGCTGCATATTCAGGCTTCTGGAAGCAGCAAGTGGAGTCTCACTTTGTGGGGGCTCAGACTCACGTGGGGGGGGAGGGGGGAGGGTTTGAAGGCTCCAGCCAGGCCTCCTCCCCTTCCTGTGCGGCAGGAGTTCACTTGGTCTTTAACACGGAGCAGAAGAAAGGGCCAGGGACTAGCTGGGCCAGGAGTCAGCTCATCGGTAGCCTCGACGGAGGCGTTGAAATGAAGCGAGTTGAAAGCGTATTAGTTGAAATGAGACGTTGCATCGAGGAGGGGCGGTGTTGAGGGGGGAAGCAAATGTAGTCATTCTGTGATGGGGCCTAATTTGATAATGAATGAGGAAGTTGTCGGTAAAATCTTGAGCGAGTCCCAAAAAATGAAGAAATCCGTCTTGATGAAGGAGGACCCAGGAGGAAGAGGTACTGGAACCAGACAGCTCACCAGCAAGCTCCCCGTGGTAAGTTGGGGCCTTCTTTCTGCCCCAGCTGTTTTGTGTTGACTTGCCCAGACCCACTGCCTCTCCTAATGGAGATCCAGGGAAGGAGAGGGAGCCTTGCAGGGGGTTGTGAAGCACACGCGTGTTTCCTTCTGCTTCTCCGAAGGGCAGGCCATGCCTCTCCCAGGCTCCTCGGGAATAGGGGGGGAGACACAAGCCTACCCGGCTCCCTGGGGGCCAGCCAGGCTCCTGCTGTTGTCAGGCCCCAGGGCTGTGCCGACTCCCAGGGCCGGAAAGGGAGTCCTCGGGCCAGGTCCTGCAAGGGCGCCCGCAGCACAGTGGCTAAGGCGCAGCTGGGGAGCCAGATGCCGGGGTTCAGCGTTCCACCTGGGGACACACGGTGCACGACCTCAGGCAGGCCGCTCAAGCTCTCGGATCTCCGGGCCCTCACGTGTACTCGGGACAGTAATTGTGCCTGCCTCGCCGGCCCTTAGGAGGCTGCAATGAGCCACCAGGTGTGAGGAGTTCGCAGCGCGGCCTGGCTCTGAAAGTCTGTTAGCTCTTCCCTAGTCCTTCGCTGTCCAGTGTGGTCACCACCGGCCACATGTGGCTGCTGAGCACCAGGCATGTGGCTGGTTTGGGTTGATAGGTGCCAAATACACGCAGATGCCAAAAACTTTTACAAGAAGAAGCAAGGAGAATATCCCATTGGTAGTTTTTATATCGATTTTATGTTGAGAGTGCCGAACCCTAATGAGGGCACTTGGGATATACTGGGTTAAATAAATATATGTTATTGAAATTCCTTTTACCTGCTCCTCTTAATTCTTTATTTTGGCCAAAAGCACATAACACAGAATCTTCAGCATTTAAGGGTGCTGCTTAGTATGTGCGGGATGGTCACACGTGTGACACAGACCTCCCGCACGTTTTCGTCTTGCAAATCGGAAACTCTATCCCCAGGAAGTAACAACTCCCTTTTCCTCTTCAGGCAGAGCTTGGCAACCACCATCCTACTTTATGCTTCTAAGAACCTGACTGCTTTAGATGCCTCATGTTAAGTGAAATCATCCAGTATTGGTCTTTTTTTTTTTTTTTAAGGAACTCTTTTTAAAAATATATTTTATTGATTTTTTTTTTACAGAGAGGAAGGGAGAAGGATAGAGAGTTAGAAACATCGATGAGAGAGAAACATCGATCAGCTGCCTCCTGCACACCCCCTCCTGGGGATGTGCCTGCAACCAAGGTACATGCCCTTGACCGGAATCGAACCTGGGACCTTTCAGTCCACAGGCCAACGCTCTGTCCACGGAGCCAAACCAGTCAAGGCCAGTATTCGTCTTTTTGTAACTGACTTGTTTTACTTAGCATGAAGTCCTCAAGGTTCACCCATGTGGTAGCATGTAGCAGGATTTCCTTCCTTTTTAAGGCTACCGAATATTCTGTCCTTTTTATTTTGTTAAGATGGCTACTAGAAAACTTAACATTTTCTTTGTAGCTTGAATGCATTTCTACTGGACGGTGCTAGTACAGAATCGGTCCTCTCACCCACATCAGCTCCCATCCTTCCTTAGAACAATTAATTTGCAACACCCTCTCCCCTCTCCTGAAATAAACGTTATAGATAATATAACTCATCTATATGCATAATTGTTAAAAGTCAATATAATGGCCTACCTGTAATAAAAAGATAAAGGAAAAAAATCTATAGTTTAAAATGTATTTCAACTTATGACTAGACACGAGTGCTTGAAGACAAAATAATCAGATGCTTGAATACATTTGCAGAGTCACCATTAATGGGCTATTAATGCAGAGTAATAACTCAAATTCTACGAATACTATTGCTTTCAGAGATGTGATTTTCTGAAATGAAACAACTCAGTCAAGTTCCAACAAAACAAAAGTTGTACAACATTTTTGTTTATATGGTTACATTCTTGTGAAACTGAGTACTAAATGGAGAAAAACTATGTGTGTGTATATGGAAACGAGTTAGATTCTAGGTTCAGAGACTTACAGATTGTTCACTTAAATGAATATCCAGTGGGATAGTTAGAAATCGAGGAACCCAGAGTCATGGTTCATCGTTCAGAACTCTCCTGTGTGCTGCGGGACATCTTGTATTCCCATGTACCCTGGACGCCTGCTGAAGACCCGTGGTGTCCTCCAGTCACTGGGACAACCAAAAGCATCCATGTTCTGCCTCAGAGACAGCCGAGACCCCACTGAGAAGCAGCAATATTGTGTTGTGAGGACCACAGGGTGGGCCCATCCATGGCCTTCAGTACCTCAGCCTAAGGCTAGCCCATCAGTCCAGCACTGACCACTTTCCACGCAGACATGTCTGATTGAGCCAGCCCAGGGTACCTTGTGTCTTTGTCTGGGTACGGCTGTATCAGTACTCACACTGCGGTTCCGTCCCCAGGGCCCACTGGCTCTGGGAACTTTCCCTGCTCTGTCCATCCCTGACCATCCTTCCCTTTTTGGAGGTTCCGGAACAGCCATCGAGCACACAGCTGATGCGCTTCTCAGGTGGGAAGCTTTTCCCCTCGTGAAACGGTGAACCTTTCAGAGGCAGGGGCAGCGTCTTCTGCTTCTTCCCGCCCTCACAGGCCCATGACACCGCTATGCGAAGGGGTGCAAATAAAGGTGGCATGAATGAAGAATCAAGGGGAAAGTTAGCAGACAAGGGGAGAAATTTGGGATTGGGGGATAGAGAGGACTATGAACTCACTTTCTGAGCTGGCTTGGGCATGGTCCGGGTGGAAGGGCCCCAGGGAGGGGGCCCTACAGTTGCAGGGCGCCTCTTTCCTAAGGAGCTTTGTTCTCCTCAACGCACACGCTGGAATCACAGAAGGACGCATCATCCTCCCGGCAGATTTTGCCACAAATTATCAGAGAGAGATCAAAATTAGGTGCGGCCTCTTCCAACTGAAAAGTTGAAGACCACCTCCAAATGCCTTACAGAGATGGATTTTACCAGCCAGTGGTGCCTACCAAGAGCGGAGAGAAAATTGTTTGGCATAAAAATCCAAGTCCATTGGAGGCCCCTCCTAAAACATTTCTTTTTTTTTTTTTTTTTAAAGAAAAACAGCTCGTTCTGAAAGTTGTTTCTTCCAAATATAGAACCTACTTAAACAGAGTTTAACCTTTCTGAGGTTCAAGTTCATTTATTCTTTGCATATACAATTTCAGCAGCTCCTTTATGTCTAAGAACAAAGGTTTGTTAAAGAGAAACCATCTCAACGTCTCCTTGGACATCAAATAGTTCTTCAGAGGAAATGCTTTGATGAGTTAAGTGTAAATGAGTAAGAAACATACGGCTTGGGTTTCTCATCTAATGCACATAGTTTTGAGAATGAAGAGGGGAAAACCTTTTGGGGAAATATGGTTTGGATTTGGGTTCTGCCTACAACACAAACACTGATTAACTTAAAGAATATGGATTTTTTTTCCTTGGGTTGCATTCCCCACCTTCAGCCTGAAGCATTAGCAATCATTCTTTCTAAAGATTTAATGTCAGATTGTAAGGCGGGGGAGAATTTTTGATTAGGGAATTCACAGGTTACCAATGTTCAAGAACCAAATCATTTGGTGACAGACCCACTTCCCACCAGACTGGTTTTTAAGTGTTTTTCAGAAACATCTCTCTGTTGGCTAAAGCATCTCCCTAACCAGGAGGAGCCCGGAGCCCTGTGTCTGGGTGAACTGAAAACACGGCCTTCTGGTAACCAGGCTCAGTGGCTGGTCATCCCATTAAGAAGGTCTTTTCCTACCCGGGGGTAGATGACTTTACCGGCAGTGGCCTTGATGTGACAATAGGCATACACCAGGGAACCCAACTGAAGATCTTTTCTTTAGTCAGCACAAGCTTTCCTACAGCGGAGAGAAGGGATAAATGGCATTAGGGATGTGAAAGCAGTTGACAGTGGTAGTGGCACATGGAAGGTGCTCCCTATATGTTGGTTCTGTCTGAGAAAATCTAAAAATAGACCCCTATGACCTCTGAGGATGGGAACTGCTCATCCCACACAGCCCTGCTAAGGGCTGGGCCCGGCCAAAGGACCAGGCAGCCCTGATCCCCGGATGCGGTTTGCCAGGGCAGGAATGTCGGAGCAGGGATCTGAAGGCAGCCCAAACCCTGGCGCTGGTGCAGTCAGCTGTGTGACCCCGGCCAAGTTACTTCACCACTCTGGGCCTCATTGTCTTTATTTTCCCTATATTTTTTCTAGAACATAAAAATTACTATCTTGACCATTTTTAAGTGTAGGATTCAGTAGTTTTCAATACATTCGTATATACCCATAATGATGCACACCATCTATCTCCAATAACATTTTTCATCTTGTAAAACTGAAGCTACATATCCACTAAACTACAACTCCCCATTTCTCTCTCCTCCACCAGCTTCCGGCAATTCCCATTCTACTTTCCAGCTCTGTGATTTTGACTACGCTCCTCATGTAAGTAGATTCATACAGACTTATTTCACTTAGCATAATATTCTCAAGGTGCATCATGTTGTGTCATATTGCAGAACTTCATTCCTTTTTTTTTTTTTAAATATATTTTATTGATTTTTTACAGAGAGGAAGGGAGAGAGATAGAGAGTTAGAAACATCGATGAGAGAGAAACATCGATCAGCTGCCTCCTGCACATCTCCTACTGGGGATGTGCCCGCAACCCAGGTACATGCCCTTGGCCGGAATCGAACCTAGGACCTTTCAGTCCGCAGGCCGACGCTCTATCCACTGAGCCAAACCGGTTTCGGCTTCATTCCTTTTTAAGGCTGAATAATATTCTGTTGTATGTAGACACCACATTTTGTTTATCCACCCATCTACCGATGGACACACGTTGTTTCTACGTTTTAGCTATTGCAAATAACGTTGCTGTGAATATACAAATCTCTTTGAGACCCTGCTTTCACTTCTTGTGGGTATCTACCCTGAAGTGGAATTCCTGGATCATAGGGTAATTCTATTTTTAATTTTTTTTGAAGAATCACCATACTGTTTTCCACAGCAGCTGCACCATGTTACATTCTCACCAGGGGTCCAGTTTTACCACATCCTCGCAGGCCAACAATTGTTATTTTGTTTTGCTTTGTTTTGCTTGAACAATAGCCATCCTAATGGGTGTGAGGGGAATCTTGGTGTCTTGACCTATGAACTGTAGGGGTTCGACCATAGGCTGGCCCTGAGCCACCGCCTCCAAATGTCTCCTAATTTCCCCTGTCTGCATGTGTGTGTGTGTTACAAGGTGAAGGTTACGTCATGCAGGCTCTTTGCAATCCAGGCCACAACTTCCTGCTTGAAGAGCTTGCGAGTCAGAAGCTGGGCTGCAGAAACAGCATCTGGGAGCAACTCTCCTTGGATCAGAGAGGAGGTGAAAATGTGCTAGCCTTTGTCACGCCCTCAGCCTCTTTAAATACAGCCCAGCCTTCTGGTTCCGTCAGCGGAAGGCACTGGTGGTCTGACTACGGGCGGTGATCTCGCAGGAGGACTGTGCAGCCCATGACTCATCCTTTGGCCCAGGGAAGCCCCCGAGAAAGGTCGGGTTCACATCAGCACTTGCCTGGAAAAAGCGGAGGTTGCACAAGGGGGTGGCTTTCTTAAGGAAACGCCTTTTCAAAGAACACATCGCGCTTTGTTCCGGGGATAAGATATTTTCCTCGATGGTCTGCCACTGTTTGGGAAGCTGGTGGCGAGCAGATGCGAGAGGAAAGAACGTTTGCGTTCAAAGCAAACACAGTTCCCCAAGCAAAGCTGGTCCCGGCAGGATCCCGGGAGCAGGATGACAGGCAATTATTTCAGTTTGGGGAGACACCAGTGGAAGTGCTTGCTGGGGCTCCTTCCTTATGAAGAGCCGCTGGGCCTGCGTCCAGAGAAGGAAGAACATCTTCCCAAGACACGGGGCCCAGCCGCGTGGCCCAGCCAGAACCCCGTGAATGCTGCTGTCGCCACCTGAGAACCAGAGGGGCTGCGCTGCGTCTTGCCAGGAAGGAAGCAGCTGACACGGGACCAGGAACTCCTCTGTGAACTGTCACATCCGATGCAGCAGACCCGGCAGATCCTTCTGGGAGAGACCCCCAGGGCTGGAGCCAGGGGCCTGCCGAGCAGAGCTCCTGGGTGCTGCTCCTCTGGGACCTGGCTGAGCGCCCACTTGCAATGCCCGCTGGGGACAGGCTGTCCGGGCAGGAGGTGACAGAGTCACAGAGGCCAAAGAGCGGGGGGCGGGGGGCTGGGGACGGGGGGCTGAGAACACCACTCTTTCCCGTTGGTGCAGTTTCTGGGACTCTCCCTGATGAGTTAGCTGGACCTGGCAGTGATGGCTACGGAGGCCCCAGAGGAGGGAAGGAGGTGCCAGAGGTGAGCGGGGCTCCACTGGGGGCAAGAGCTGGGTGTGGAGGAGGCTGTTGGAGGCGTGAATGTCCAATAGGATCCCCCTTCCTGGCACAGTGCTGTGCTGTGGGAATGACTCTCAGACACGGTGCCCCCTGGCCTCCCACGCCGGCCACTGCTGCTGCGGGTTGGGAACTGACCAGACGTGCCAGGGCCGAGTGGCCAGCTGCTCACTGCCCTGAGGCAAGAACTGGAATCGTGGTGCCCGAGGGCTGATGGGACTCCAGTGTAGGCCAGATCCCTAAGTCCTTCGAGAGCGTGGACGGGGTGAAATGAGGCTCAAGGGGGCATCCTGCTGGCATTGGATCTCAGGGTCTGAGCAATTAATTGGAAGAATTTGAGATGTGGCTTATTTGATCCTCCAGGTGAAGGCAGAGGCAGATTTACCGTGCGGTTGGTGAAATTGATGCTTTGAGTCCCCCTTCACTAGCCGGGGCGTCTTCCAAGCCCACAGCTGCCTAGCGTTGGGGTCACGTGGCATTTACTTTGGTCAAGTTTGAGAGGTAAGCATTTTTATATTCTTTTTCTTAGAAAGAACCTCTAGAACAGGGGTGGGCAAACTTTTTGACTCGAGGGCCACAATGGGTTCTTAAACTGGACCAGAGGGCTGGAACAAAAGCATGGATGGAGTGTTTGTGTGAACTAATATAAATTCAAAGTAAACATCATTACATAAAAGGGTACGGTCTTTTTTTTTTTTTTTTAGTTTTATTCATTTCAAACGGGCCGGCCCGCGGGCCGTAGTTTGCCCACGGCTGCTCTAGAATGATGAACCAAATGGAGGGCTCCACAAAACCTGGAGTTTTGAGTTGCACCCATGAACCGGCATCCACAAGCAGAAGACGGGAGCGTTCTTGGGGCTCAGGCAGCACCAAAGCAGGCGCTGGGGGGAGGGGAGTGGGGGCCTCTGCGCCTGCCCCAGCCCTCGTGCTGGGAATGAAGAAGTGGTCTCAGTCCTCACCATCAAGGAATGGATGCTCTCAGAAACTTGGAAATAATTCCCTGACTAACACTCCAAAGGGGCGCGATCCATTTCCACTACTGATGGAGGTCTATTGACTCTCAGGCAGAGGGATCGAGATTAAATTGCACAAAATAGATGCAGAGACATAGAACCTGGAAGAGACGGACACATTTCAGAGGGAAGGCGGGGGTAGGGGGTCCGGGGGGGGAGAGATTAACCAGGGAATTTATATGCACACATGCATAGCCCATGGACACAGACAATAGTGTGGTCAAAGCCTGGGGGGGGGGGGGGAGGGGTCAATGAGGAAAAAAAACAACAACAGAAAACAAAGGGGACATCTGTAATACTTTCAACAATAAAGATAAATTTTAAAAAATATAGCAGTCTGGAATTAGATTACCTGAGTCTTTAACTTGTCAAACTTCTCATTTCCCCATCTGTAATATGAAACAACACCAGTGAACTTCTTTTGAGGAATAAATTGGATAATTTTCCAAAAGCATGGTGCTGGGCACATAATTAATCTACATTTAGTCTACCTAAATATGATTTTTCCTTCTTCTGGTCTGAGCAGCTGGATATTAAAGGATTTCTTAAACACAACTAATTGTAATAATTTTTTAAAAATCAAGGTTTGGCTCAGTGGATGGAGCGTCGGCCTGCGGACTGAAGGGTCCTGGGTTCCATTCTGGTCAAGGGTACATGCCCAGGTTGCCGGCTCAATCCCCAGTAGGGGACGTGCAGGAGGCAGCCGATCAATCTCTCTCATCATTGATGTTTCTATCTCTCTCTCCCTCTCCCTTCCTTTCTACAATCAATTTTATATATATATATATACATATATATATATATATATTTTTTTTTTTTTAAATCAAGGTTGGAGTAGGACAAATGGGAAAGGCCTCGGTGGCGAGTCCTGGTGTGAAATGAACCTTCGTCTCTGACCTGGGGGCAGCTTTGTTGCACCCACTGGGGGTGAGTGCATGACGCCGCGGCAGCCGCTGAGGGGCACTGTGCTGACTCCACTGTCCTAAGCTTAAAAGGCAACTCGGCTGTTCGCCGCGACGTTACCTGGAAACCCAGCGACGATGCAAGTTCCTTCACCTGCCAACTAGCACATTTCGGAGCAGCCGCTACCCAAGCACTCTGGTTTTGTCATTTCCTTTTATAAGTTAAATGTACAAACCTCAGTCCAATCCAAGGCTGGCTGTATGATTCAGGATTCTGCAGGGAAATAGAACCGATAGGATACACACGCATACAAAATGCAGGGGTTAGGGGTGCGCTGACGCCCTGCACAGTGGGAAAGCCACTGATAACTCCCCCAAAGCTTAACACCTAATAGCCTGCTGTTGACCAAAAGCCTTACTGATAAAAGAGTCAATTAACACATATGTTGTATTATATTCTGTATGTATTATATATGTATTATATTCTGTATTCTTACAGCAAAGAATAGAGAAAGATATTAGAAAAATCATAAGGAAATTACATTTACTGTATTTATTTTATTTACTCCTTTATTTTTGTTGTTGTTAATCCTCACCCAAGGATATTTTCCCATTGATTTTTTTTTTTTTTTTTTTTTAGGGAGAGTGAAAGAGAGAGGGAAAGACAGAGAGAAACATTGATGTAAGAGAAACACATCAATTGGTTGCCTCCTGCATGAGCCCTGACCAGGGCCCGGGCTGGGGAGCAGTCTGCAACCAAGGTACATGCCCTTGACCGGAATCGAACACAGGACCCTTTGGTCCACAGGCCTACGCTCCATCTACTGAGCCAAACTGACTAGGGCTACCGTATTTATTTTTTTTAAATCCTTGTGTAAGTGGACCTGTGCTGTTCAAACTCATGCTGTTCAAGGGCCAACTGTACACACACACACACACACACACACACACACACACACAGGGTCAGCTGTCCATACGTGCTCACACACAGTTCCTATATGGGTTTGTGACAGGAATTAGCTCACACAGTAACAGAGGCGGGGAGGGCCCAGTCTGCTGTCTTTGTGATGGCGAACTGGGGTGGCTGATGGTGAATTCAGTTTGAGTCAAAGGCCTGAGCACTGGGGGAGGGGGCGGTGGTGGGAAGCCCTAGCTGAGTTTGGAAGCCTGAGAACTGCGAGCTACCACGTCTGAGGGCAGGAGAAGGTAGATGCCTCAGCTCGACAGGACAAATCCACCTCCATCCTTTTGTTCTGTTCAGGCTGTCAATGCACTGGGTGATGCCCACCACATGGCATGCTTTAGCCTTCTGATTCAAATGCCAATCTCTTCCTGCGACACCCACAGAAACCCCCAGAGGGGATGCTGTTCTAGCTGATGGGCATCCTTGAGCCGGGCCCAGTGGACACACAAAACGAGACATCGCTCTGCGGTGTACCTGTCCCGTGGCCATCCCTTCTGGCTTATCTTTGCTGTTGACAGTATTCAGATGCGCATACACAGAACCTCTTGGCAGAGACTCCACACTGAAGAATGGACCTGCAGCTGACGTTCCACCTCCCCTCGACGTCTCCGAGCCTCTCCTCCACGCCCTCTGGGTGGCCTGGCTTCCAAAGAAAACATCAGGAAGACATGAGGGCGAGTGCAGGAGTGACTAGGTGCTTGGGAGCGTAGATATGTCTGTGGGTGGACACGTGTGTGATTGCAAGCATCATATTCGCACACACTGCTCCACGGTCAGCATACTTGCTAACCACACAAAGGAAAACACCTCGACTTTAATAGATGCTTGGTCCGTTCGAACAGCAGCTGGGGAAGTCTGAGACGCGGGGTGTTTTTTCAGCTTGCACCCATCATCGGGAACTGGGCGAGGCTGGGCCGAAAGGGGGAAATGCTGAGCAGCAGCACAGGGATCCCGGGCATTGGATTCCATGGTGGGAGAAGGCGGCCGGAATTCACGCGGCGACCAGCGGCCGCTTCTGCCCAGCTTGTGAAATCTAAGCCGGGCTGGCCCACCCCTGGAATACAGGCTCAAACCCATGCGGCTGCTTGGTCTCCGGAGACTCTGGCTGTCCTGCTTGCGGCAGCAGCAACAAGTCCCCGTTAGTGAGCAGAACCTTGCCTGGGAAAAGGGACAGGAAGGGGATTTCAAAAATAGACAGGAAAGCCTCCTCCTGGGAAGTTAAGGCTTTAGGGAGGGTCTAGCAGAGGGAGATCACCAGGGCCCGGCTTGCAGGGGAGCCAGACCACGTGGGCAGGCTGGGGAGGACGCAGACGTCACCGTCACCTGCTGTCCCATCCCTCCCGGCGAAGAGTGGCACTTCAAACTATTTGGCAGCGAGTCATCAGAAAAATGCTAATTTTCGTTTGGGAAAAAACGGCATCTCCGTGGGACGTTTCACCCCCGTTATCTGCTCTCCCTGGAACTACGGTGGTGGGAGAAGCCAGCCCCTTAGAAATGAAAGCCATATGCACACCATATTTAAAAGCCAACGACCGGGCCATTACAGTATTGCTGACCTTAGGAATTTGGTATTTATGATTTACATTCTTTCCCAGACTCCGCTGTTTTTCAGCAGTGAAGAGCGGAGGTTTATGGCCTCGCCAGATCGTAAAGCAGATTCCTGAGGGCAGGGGGAGCGCTCCAGGCAGGAGGCCTTGCCTTGGAGTTTGCAGGATGCATCAGGACACCAGGAAAGGAACCGCGTGGAGAGACAGGACCCTGCTTCTGGGAGCGAGAGGCACCGCCGCCTGACAGGCATCCCTCCCCCCAGCAGCAGCCATCGCACCCGGGCCCACATCTGGAGCTGGCTCGGAGGCGTGGCGTCCCTCACACGGCCAGCGCCGGGACCTGAGTCCTCTGGCCCCTTCCGAAGGCAGGGAGGCGGGACCTGAGTCCTCTGGCCCCTTCCGAAGGCAGGGAGGCGGGGGCATGCTTTGCTGAGGCCGAGGCGGCGCGACTCGATCCCACAGGAGGTGAGATGGGTGCGCAGGAGTCCAGGAGCCTGGAGTGAGCCTTAGGCTCCGGCTCCCCGACGCCCCCTGGTGGCTGCGTGCTCTCGTTCACCTGCTTAACCTCGAAGCCTCCAGGCCTTGGAAAAGGGGGTACCACAGCAAACTCGCAGGACTCAGGAACACACATGGGGCTGCCCGCGTGGCTCAGTGGTTCCCGGTGAGGGCACGTGCCCAGGCTGCCAGCTTGGTCCTCAGTGTGGAGCCTGCAGGAGGCAGGCATCACTGTTTCTCATCACGTGTTTCTACCTCTCCCTCTCTGAAATCAATAAAAATATTAAAAATATATTTTCTTAAAAAGGAGAGAAAAAAGAATACACATTCGGTGCTGGACACGCGGTGGGCGGGGCTGTGTGAGGGGCGCCCTTGCCCCTGGAAATGAAATGCTGCTTCGCTGTTGCCCTCCAGGGAAGCCAGTGCTAATGTGGCCACTGGGAAGATTCCGGGGAGGGTCCCAGAGCCCCCTCCGGTCTCTCAAAGGTTCCCGGTGCTGTGCAAGCTTTCATCTGGAAGATTCGCTTGCAGTGACCCTGGTGAACCCCTCCCCCCGCTTCTGGTCTGGATGTCATTCACTCAGAGGGTGGGGATCCTAAACATTTTTAAAGCAGGGCTTTCTTGCCCTGCCGGTTTGGCTCAGTGGATAGAGCACCGGCCCACGGACCCAAGGGTCCTGGGTTTGATTCGGGTCAAGGGCACATGCCCAGGTTGCGGGCTCGATCCCCAGTAGGGGGCGTGCAGGAGTCAGCCGATCAGTGATTCTCATCATTGTTTCTCTCTCTCCCTCTCTCAAATCAATAAAAATGTTAGAAAAAAAAGTGGAGCTTTCTTAAGCCTTCCCCAGGTCGCACTGTGAAATCCAGCACCTCGCCAGGCCGGGCCACGCTGTAGGCGGCTGGATTGCCGAGAACGGGCGGACACAGCTGTCGGTTGAGCAGGCGCAGGTCTGCCACCCAGGGCTGCCCATGTGGACTGACGAGCCCCCTGCCGGCGACTCCACACTGTCATTACGGCTATTGTGTGTCTGCTTCAGACATGAAAACGCACCATTTTGGTTCTTCAGTCTCAAAAGTTTCTATTTTCCATTTAATGGCAAACAAACCTCATCTCCTGTGGTTTGTAAAGCCACAGTTCCCTTTACTCAGCATCCGATGGAGACAGGGAACACGGTGTCTGAGGCGCTGGGGAGACTGCGTGGAGGGGCAGGAGGCCAGGCAGCTCAGAGGAACCCTTCCTGCCACCGCTGGGCATGAGGTGCCCGCCAGTGGCAGGCCTTGGGGCAGGGTGTTTTCAGAGCATTCCCGCAGCAAAGGCAACCGATTCACACCTATTCACACCAGCCACAGAGGTTCCAGTCTGAGCCCAGCAGGGCTGAGGCTGGCTGGGTGGTTACAGCAGCTGTGGCAGCAAACCTCTCAGGCAAACCCTGTTTTCTGAATGACGTTCCTGTCCCCATTGCGTTTATCAGAAGGGGGCGGATTTGCCAACGCCCGTCTCCCTGCTCCAAGAGATGATGCTGGGACTTGCGAGTCCCTTGTGCCAGCAGTGCGGGCGGGAAGCGTGCCTGTCACACCCTCCACCAGGCCAGTTTCACCCTGAGTATTAAGATGTATAAACTAAGCTCAGTCCTGAGCTGTGGGGCTACGTGGACCTGCTGCACATCCTTGAGTGTTAGATTCTGACGGCAAACATCTCAGGTCAGACAGCTTCCAAACCCGCCCAACTGAGGCACAGAGGGAAGTCCAGGCAGACCCAGTCACGGTGAGCCTCTGAAATGGATGACAGGCAGTCTTCAGGAAGCAGGAGGCAAGGGGGACTTTACCTCTTAGCATCCCTACAAACTAAAAAGTCACAGCCCACCTTTTGTAGACACTCATAATTCCTTTAAGTTCACAGAAGATGGCAAAATAAAAAAGCCGTATGTATTGCATCAAAGATAATTCCGAAGTTCAATTAAAATTTTACTTCATCTGCAATGGTTGTAGCATTGTCACCTGTGATTGTTGTGGCATCAGTTTTAGAATAAAATGTGACACGGGGAAGAGCTGTGAATATCTAATTATGGGCAAGCCGACTGCGGCAGAGTGGTCCTCGCCATGACTAAGGCTGACCCCGTGAGAACAAAATCCCACACCTAATTCTTTCAGTGAACACACCTGAAGGAGAGGTGGGTTTGCAATGAAATCCCGATGAACTTAGAAGTCTTGGCTGACCTTGATTTTAACCATATAAATGGGAGATATTCCAGACTGCAACAGGCTGCCTGTGGGATTCCCAGTCTTCCTAACAATCACAAGGCTCCACGGGAAGCCCGCCTGCCGAACTGTGTCAGCCAGGAGTTCCCCCAGCGGAACTCGAAGGGCACGCAAGTGAGATCCGCGATTGAAGTGCTCGCTTCAGTCTGGCTTTCAATGGGTTTCTTCCTTTCCACCTCGCGTCTGGCCTTCCTCTCTGTGTCCAACCTCCCGCGGCGAGGGCCTGCCTGCGTGCACTATTGTACACAGAACAGCGGGTCCATCCCAGAGGCGGAGTCTTGACAAGAGGCATCACTTAGAAGGGCCTCGAAGCGGCTTCGGCGGGAGATCCACAGGTGCAGAGAATCTTATTTTATTTCTCCTGGGTGGCTACTGCCCGCACAAGTCCTAGCGCAAATAAGACTGGCATTTACAGGATGTCTTTTATCATCGAAATGTTCAACGGGTCAATGAAACGTCCGGCTTCGCAGAGGGAGCAGTTTGGCTCCGGCTTTCACAAATGGGAAACAGACAGAAAAGCCGGGAGAGGCCACGGAAAGACCCACAATGACAAGAAGGGAAAAGCATCTAACGCTCAGGGCAATGCTACTTAAGGAGAAAAATACATACAACATTCTTCCTGAATTCCGTCTAAAATAGTGGGCTTTTGGGAGGACAGTTTGTAAATGACGAGCGTGTGCTGATTTGCAAATAATGTCCCATATTAAATGAGGTCTCTGAAACATGCATTCCATTTCCACCAGTGTGAGGCCCATTGCCATGGAAACGGGTGGGGAAAGCAGGCCAAACGCACAGTATGGCTTCCAGGAGGAAGGGGGCTGTGGGGCTGGCCGGTCATGGAGAGCACCGGCCTTGTGACCACTGGAGTCGGGAGTGCTTACGGAAAGGGGTTGGGAAAAGCTTAGACTCCAAGAAAAGGCGTGGAGAGCGTCTGAGGACTTCCCTGGCCGGTTCGTACAGGCCGCGGAGGGACAACGGTCCCGTGTGCACTGGCTTTCTGCACAGCCCACAGGAAAGGCAGGGTCACCCCCTGTGCCAACAGGTGCCTCTCCCTGGCTTCTCAGGTGGGGCCGAGCTATCCACCAGCTCACAACCAGCCAGGGCGTGAAGGCGCGGGGCCCGACTCCCCCGGAAACAGACTTGCAAACTCTGAAGTGGCCCCGGAGAGGAGGAGGGCGGAGGCAGGCATGTGCAGGAGACACAGAAGCACTCGGTGCCCGATGGCAAAGTGCGGGGCAAACAAATGCACTACATTCAACGGCCACACTGTTTCCTCCCCGCCCGTCTCCCAAAGGCCTGCTGGCTGGGTTCTAACAGTGCCGTGGGCGCATTTATTCTCTTTTCATGTTTTTAATTGATTTTTAGAGAAAGAGGAGGGGAGAGGGAGATTGAAACATTGACTAACATGAACCGGCTGCCTCCCGCACACCCCCTACTGGGGATGGAGCCCACAACTGGGCATGTGCCCTGAGGAACCCAACCAGAAACCCCCTTGGTTTATGGGCCAATGCTCAACCACCGAGCCACACCAGCCGGGCCGGTGGGCGCATTTCTGAGACAAGCAGCTCGCTGCCTCTCCTCGGTGCTCCCATGGCCGCTGCTCACACAGCGCACGCAGCCCGAGCGGCGGCCCTTCCTCACTGACCCTCAACCAAGCGGCCGCCAGAGGCCGGGTCACAGGCTGTGACCCGGCGTGCATGACTCACTGAACCCCTTCACCCTGGATTCTTCTGCAGAAAAAGAAAAACATGACACTTCCATGGGTAGAGATTGCCTTAAAGGGAGAAAAGACATCGAAACCTCGGTGCTCTGTGAAAGGAGGGAACCAAAGGCCTGCTTTCAGCGGCTTTCTGTACATCTACATAAAACACTGACAGTCACAACCTCCCAGAGTCCCCAGAAAACACACCGATTGCTGGGAAGCGGTGGGAAAGACCAGCGGGAGGCAGAGGAATGAGCACCTGGCAGACAGGTCTTGGACAGGCTTTAATGTGGGCTGTTTGACTGGGAACAGGAGCCGCCAGAGGCGCGGAGCTGTGGGGAGAGCACTCCGGAGCATGGCGTGGAGAAGGGCAACTCACCAGCACCTCACAGGGAGCAAAAGACAGTGTCACAACACGCCACGGAGGAAGGAAACGAAACGTAAAGGCACCTGGCTGTGGGGGGCGAGCGCGGCCCCTCCAGCAGGTCCACGGAGCGCACTGTGGTGAGTGTGGACAGTGAGGGTCCGACTGGGACAAACCGGTTCTGATCCGAAGCCCAGGCTCCTGCGCAGGCCGCTAACCTTTCCCCAGATTGGGTCACACCTGCTGGGTGGGTTCAGGCCACAAAGGGGGACGAGGCTGGCTGCACAATAACGCAAAAGCCCTCCTTTTCCTTTGTCTAGAAGAGAGGGGGCCTCCCCCGTTCAGCTCCAGCAGTGGCTTCTGAAGGTGGTTAAGCAGCGTGACTTAAAAACAAATAACAACAAAATAAAATACAGACAAGCGGCCTGAGTGTAAACCAATCGGATGGAGAGGCAGATTCCTAACACCTGGGGCCGTGCACCGCTCTACGGCCAACGCCCTGGCGAGCGAAGTTTCCCCAGTGCCCACAGGACTCGCCCGCGCACGCGGCTCT